GATTGTGCAGATGAACCAAAATATTATTAAAGGTTTAACAGAAGCAAGATACTCTTTAGGCTGATATTATATTTACCTTGTTTCTATGTTTTTACTTCAAAAATACTTGTAAGCAACTTTTATTGATATGTGATCATAGATCGTATTAATGGTAATATCTGTTTGCTTATGATAATCAGACAGACAGACAAAAAACTGGCATGAAGTTTTTTGATATCCATCTTCATTAACTATATTTTGATAATTCTATAAAAATATTTTATATATATTTAGTTAGAGCAGGTGTCCATTGGAAAACTACTAAAAACTATATTCTAATCACTATCAGTATCACAAATGTCATATCCGTCATGACTAATGACCTGTTACAATGTTAGGCTTTGAGTTCAGGATGCCTTTGTTACATTGGTTATTTAACTCAGTTTTTTCCAATCCATTTCTCTATGATCTAGACCCTTATTTGAAAAATATGGGGCTGGAGAGATGGCTCAGTGGTATAAGTGCCTGCCTGGCAAGTACAAGGTCCTGAGTTCAAACTCTGGTACCAAAGGAGGGGATGACTAGGGAGAAAGATAGGGAAAATATTGTTTCCTCAGTAGTGGGTATTGAATTTGGAGCTTCAAACTGAGCTGTATTCCCAGGACTTTTTTGTTTGTTTGTTTTTGAAACCAGATCTCACTGAGTAGCTGTTTTCCAAGATGGGCTCAAACTTGTGATCTTGAGTCAGTTTTTTTTTTTTTTTGGACTAGGTACAGGGCATACAGGATCTATGGGGTCTCACTATGTAGATTGGACTTGTAGTGATCCTCCTGTCTTCATCCTCCTAAGAGCTGAGATTACAGGAACACACCACTACACCCAGTCTCAATCACCATCTTAGCCCTCCCCAGGGACAGGGCCGGCATGGCACGCCGGGGATCAAACCCTGGCTGCTGTGCTCTGCATAAGCAGGTGCTTTAGTCCACTGAGTTATCAGACCTGCCAAGTCAGCTTCTTAGAGTGCTGGGACTGTTGGTATGTGTTAACATGTCTATCACTAGGGGACTCTTATAAAGCTTTCAGAGTATATAAAGCTTTTCAGATTCATAGTTTTATCATGTTTTTCTTAACTGCTTCATTAATCATTTTTCTAATTGTTTAGAATTTTTTAAAGTGCACAAAATGGTAATAGGAAAAAAAGCAGCACTAGAAACAACGCAAAATTTCACTAAACAAAGTAATAGGAATTCAACAATGGTTGTTATAGTGTATGATGCTATCTTCAAATTAGTTGCTCAGAAATTGGCAGTATAATTGCCCAAACTACCCTGCATATACATAAACATATCTTTTCCCCTTCTTTCTTTTGTCCTTTTCCTCAATTTTTCCTTCCCATTGAATAAATTGTTTCCCTTTCACAGTATGTATTTTGTACCTCTCTAATTTTATTTACTCTTTCAGTTTCTCACACTAGTGAGATAATACAGTGTTTTCACATGTGGATCTGATTTATTTCACTTATCAATATACATCCAAGTCGTAACCATTTATCTACAAAACTTTGTATTTATCTTTCTTATAGCTAAATAAAACTTGAATGTGTACAAATATCTTGTCTTTTTATCCATTCCTTAGTTGATGAGCATTTGGATTGTCTCAAAGATTTAGCTATGACAAATAGCACTGCAATAAACATGGTGCACATATATTGTTGTTCTATGATTTCAGTTCTTTTGGAAAACTACCCAGGAGGGGAATACCTGGCTTGAATGGGACCTCCAATTCTAGCTTTTGAGGAATTTCCATGCTACTTTCCATAATGGTTGTACCAGCCTGCACTCCCACCAACAGTGGACAAGGGTTCCTTTTTCCCCACAGCCTCTTCAGTATTCCTTATCAGTTGAATTCCTGATGATGATCTTAAACAGTTTACTTAAATATATTTCTAAGCCTTATGTTTTAATCAGGAAAATGTGTTGGCAAATTTGTGAAATTAAATGACATAAGAAAATCCAATTCTTTTTCACTTTCTCTTTCTTTCACTTATATTTGGTCTTAAGCTTTTTTTTTTTTTTTTGCTTATCAGCCAAGTTGTTTTATCAGAAACTAATAATTAATAGTGAGTTATGTAGCATAAAATATAATAGATATATACAAATATAACTGTATCTAGCCAAATGTGTCTATATATAGATCACCCCTAGAGAGGGTGAGAGGAATGAGAGGAGTTTTTAAAGTAGGCAATTAGATACCTTAAGAATATGGAAGCAATTGTGTGAGGAAATTATCTGAATGTGGAATTACAGGTATATGCCCACAATATTATAGAGATACACCAGAAATAAAGCTCACTCTCATTGAAATCTCTCTCACTTGCAGAATGTTGGTACACTGGTGTTCTAGCTCTGGTGATTTCTACAGTCAACTTTTCAAATCTTGAAGTGCTGGCTTCAGGGGTGTCGAGATTAACAATATTAAAGGAGTTCTTCAACTGTGATAGACCTGCCGTTCTAAACTGAGATGTATGCATAAATAATTATAAAGGAAGTAGACTGAATTTTGATATTAGTTTTCAGTTCCTCTTCACCAAGAATTCTGTGATAAATTCAAACTACTGTGTCTAAAGAATGGCTTAACAGCCTTCAGGGTAGTCTAGCCTGGATCAACTTATCTTATGATCTGCTTTTGTGTGTGTGTGTGTGTGTGTGTGTGTGTGTGTGTGTGCCTGTGTGGTAGTGGGGGTTGAACCTAGGACTTCCTATTAACTATATCACAGGTTTTACAATTTTTATTTTGAAATGAGGCCATGCCAACTTGACCTCAAACTTGTGACCTTCCTCCTCCACTCCAACTAGCAGGGATTGTAGACATGCTACACTGTGCTCAGCATAATCCTACTTCTTGTTGAAAACTTCCTAATAAGAAACTATGCAGTTTGCTTCAATGTCTCGTATGCTTGGCCATTTATTTATTCTTTACTTATTTTTAGTTTTTATTTTTGAATGATGTTATAGATTCAATCCAGGGCCCCAACTATGTGAAGCAAGTGTTCTATCACTGGTTACACCCCTGCCCTTCCCCTGATGATAAGGGTGTGTTAGAAATTCGGGAGATCCCTATATTTTGATCTTGTTATACTTTGTTAAAAGTTAATGGGAAGCAAGAACGGTGACTGTCATAGTCCTTCTAATATGACTTTATGACTTTAATGTTGTTTTTAAATATATTTTGTAACCAGGTTAATAAGTCAAAGTGTTGTGTTTTAACCTTGTCTTTTGGTCACCCTTTGAATATTTTGCTTTTCGTGCAGAATTAGTACAACTAGAATTGTATGCATATTATTGCTAGTGTAAATCCGAGTAGACTAAGACATGTGAACTTTTCCCAAATCTGCCACTAGACACTATGATTTGAGGAACTATGTCTGATTAACAAGTTGACCGGGGTGGTTTGAGGCAGATTGGCAACTGGTGGCCAACGTGTCACACCTCGCTGAACTGAGTCCGCATACCACTTGGTAGGGGAGACCCATCTGAGGATTTTTACTAACAAAATAAAAAGGAGAACAGAAGAGAAAAAAGAGAAGCTTTGAGAAGCTCGTTGGTTCTCCTGGAGAAGCTCGTCATGCTGACTTTCCTGATATGAACTCAGTGGTTCTCATGGTCAGAGGAGCTCAGGACTTCACTGTCCCTGAGAGTGGCTGTGGTCTGGGTTAGCAGAGCTCTGGTCCTTACACTGCCTGGATTCAGCGCAGATCCCTCAGCCTGCTGGCACAGATTCTTCATTATGCTGGCACAGGGTTTCTATTTTTCACACTGACCTTTGCCTTCCCAGTGCAAGTCCATTACACAGGCTTGCATGAGACGCTGTCACGGGCTCTAGGCCTCTAGTTGGACATGTGGGGGGCACTGTGGTGGACTCTAGTTCTTCAGCTGGATGCATTCAGGGCATTGCAATGGAATACAGGCCCTCAGCTGGATTGTTTTGGTCTTTAGTGTATGGACAGATTTCCTGCACTCTCTTTGTACATGACTCTTGGGTAACTATTATAAAATAGTCCTACATGTCATTCTATATTATATTAATTTCCCCCCTCTCATACCCTGACTACAAAAGTCTTTTAATTATTACCTTAAGAATGGCTGGTATGGCCAGACATGGTGGTACAAAGTTTTAATCTCAGCACTTGGGAAACTGAGACCTTGCCTCACATTCGGGGCCTGCCTGGGCTACATAGTGAGTTCGAGACCAGTCTAAACTGTGTAGTGAGATCCTATCTCAAAAAGCAAAACACAGCAAAACAAAAAGAATCAGTTTTTCCTATGCAGACTGACTTCTAAGAGATTGTGTGCACTTGTCCATTCCTCCTGTTTAGAACACCCATCAGTGCCTATAAAATATAAACTAAACACCTTCTCACAGAGATATTGGTTGCAAAAACTCATTATTGTAGTGTTGAAATTTTTTTGTAAGCCATACTTGAAATTATTGGAATTGGAGGCAATAAATGCGATAAAACACATACAACTCTAACCAAGTAGTACAAAGTAAAGGCTTTTCTTTTTTCTGGCCGTGTACTTGAAACCTCCATACATCTAGGCAGAGAAATAAATTTTTAATGACTGGGATCAGTATAGAGTTGAAGTGAGCATTATTTGAAGAATAATTTTATTTATTAGACATCAAATCCTTCATGTGTTCTCTGCTTCAGACTTAGGGTAAGTGTATAAGAAAAAGGATGAAAGAAAACATATCGAACATGAATTATTCTCTCAATTTTACATAGGAAAGATGAGATTATGGGAAATAGTGAATGTTTTAAGACACACATAACTTGCAAAAAGAGAAAGATCATTCTGTTATAAATTATGTGGGTTCCAAATCCCTTTTCTTTTCCTTTTAACTTCTCTTTTTGTTAGTGTGTTACGTGAGAAGAGGAATGAATTGGACACATTTAGATTTTGCAAACTTGTGAGTTGAGAAAAATGCTATTGAAACACATTGCTAAGAAAAATTTTCAACACAAATGTGTCATTTCCTTTCTTCATGGGCCAGATGCTGAGATACTATCAGATAAAGATTTTAGGTTTCAATTGCAAAGAGAAGGAAGTGAATGAATCAGTGCTGCCTTCTTCACAATCCAAGGTAAAAGAGGTTTATTTAAGTTTCTTTTCTCAAAACTATTTCTATTGACTGTGTGTACTTCGTGTGTGTGTGTGAGAGAGAGGTTATAACAATATAATCTCTAAAGAAATATTTTCTTCTGTTACTAATATTATTTGGTTATTTTAGAAGCTTATGCAAAGATTTTATAAGGTTTGTTGAGTGAAAAAATGGGTATATGTATATAAATATTCATGAAATATACTAAATATATTGTAGTTGAAACTGGCAAGAAATGTTTGTCATATAATTATACTTGTTTTGTTAAAAATATTGACTTGACTCCAATTATAATTTAACAAACTTTGGTTATTCTATTTTCTTTACTTTTCACATAGTATTTTTAGCTTTAAATTGATGCTCTTTATAATCTTTAATTGCCCATAAAGCCAACAGATGCTGTATATCTACTCTAAGCAATTCATTGAAGTAGATGCAGGGAAGGGATGCAGAGAATGAAAGATTTCATTTTCAGGAGTTCATCACCTAAGGCATGGGCTCTGGTAGGTATAATGTAATACAAGTGCCATGATTACTACTGTGGAAATTTAGGAAAGGTGGAAATTACTTCAACTGCTTAAAGGATTATCAGTGGAAAGAAATCTCTGTGGAGATGTTAGATTTTAGGATCATCTTGAAAATCAGGTAAGTCATACAGAATGACTTGAAGGGTTGGTATTTTTCATGTGAAAATAATGAAAAAAACAAAGGCATAGAACTGAGATTATGAATGTTCTCTGTGGTGGTTAGGAACCAATATTCTACCATTTACTCTCAGATCCCCTCGTGTTGATCTCACGCTACCCACTTACTCAGATCCCCTAGTGTTGATCTCACACTACCACTTACTCTCAGATCCTAGAATCCCCACTCCCAGTTGGGTCACATTGACTAATTACTTAAGTATTTTTCTACTGGTTTTCTGAGTTGTAAAATGAAGAAAATATGGCATTATATCTCATGGACCTATAGCAAGGATAAAATTTATATAGAAAATAATGACTGCCTTAACTGATAATTTTCTGTGTATCAGGCAATTTACAAACAAAAATAACTTTCATAGTTGTACTTTATGTTATTGTTTCGTTGTTGGGGATTAAGCCTAGCAATCTACATATGCCTAAAAGCATAAACTACTACATTCTCAGCCACAAAGTAATTGCTTCAACTGATGCTGTAATTATATTTTATATATACAGAAACTAAAGTTGAAAGAAATTAAAATGTCTGTCTAAGATCACATGGCTAGATAATAATCAGCCAGAATTCAGAACTAAAATTTCATTTCAAAAACATTCTTTTTCATTAAAAAATGCTCTCTTCCTGTTTTCAATACCAATGATGAGAAAAACTGCTATCAAGAAAAATGCAGATATATTTTATTAGACTCAGTCTTATGGACATATTCCTTAGCCAAAGAGTTATTAGTTATACAAATATGTAATTTTTTTAAAAAAATTACCTTATTTATTTCATACCAGGTCTTACTATGCAGCTTGGACTCATAGTGGTCTTCCTGTTTCAGCCTCCCCAGTACTAGGATTATAGACATCCACCATCATGACTGGTTTCATTGGCCGGCATGGTACTCCAGGTTCGGGGCCAGCACAGCATGCAGTAATGGGGATAGAACCTGAGTCTGCAGTGACAGGCAGGTGCTTAGACCTCCAGCCTGTAATTAGATTTTCATTTGTTATTCTTTACAACTATTCTTATATGAATCACAGGATTTATTCTTAAGTAATAAATAATGTTGCAAGGCAAATGTTTATTTCAAATCTTAAGATGAAAATATTGATAAGTCTAACTAGAAGGCAGTTTTAGAAGAATGCTCAAAAAACATAAATAGATGGTAAGTACATACTACAAGTGAATAACTTATTTTCATATATGTATATCAAATGAAGCTCTCTCAGGCTATACAGTCAATGGATATAAATAGACAATAATCAAAGAAATATAATACATAGCAAATAATTACATACCTATCTCTTTCACATTAATAATAAGAAATGAAAGATTCTTGGCACAGTGGTGCCTGTGGTCCCAGCTACTCAGTAGGCAAGAAAATTATTTGAATCTAACAATTTAGGGTCAGAATGGAAAAACACAATCAGAGCTAAACTCAAAAAGGGGTGGAGGGAGAGAGAGAGAGAGAGAGAGAGAGAGAGAGAGAGAGGAAAAAGGAACCCATGGGTATGATTCAAATCTTTGTATCAAAATCTAGTGAAGCATGGGCTCAGAATGTCATCCCAAGGTACGGTGCTTGTTCAGCATCTCCAAATTCATGGGTTCAGACCACAACACCACACAGCCACACACATCTGTATGATCCTAAACATAAATGCTACAATGCAAGGATGTCACATTTAAAACCTTTATGCCCATACTCACTGATATATTGAAAAATATGTATCATCATTTTAAATAGAAGCCAGGCGATAGATACAAAGAAGTCCAAAATAGTTTTTCATTTTGCCAGGTAGATGAACCTATGGTGAACTGCCCCAATGAGCATTTCAAGAGTATAAGGCTAAATTATGAATATCATTTATGATATTATAATTTCAATATAGTAAAATGGCTACACAAACATGATACATACATTTGATGAATTACTGTGCATCTCATTGTGTTAAAATTGAAAAAAAATTACTTGAAATGTAAAACAACATAAATTTTTTTGAGAAATCCACATCAGGTATGTGTGTTCTTTATGACATCAACTATGTAATATATATCTGTCTGTACAAATTCGAGTTTCGTACGAAAAATGAAGGACTTTTTTCCAGTATGATGATGAGTTTTATTTTGCTTATTTATTATTGTTACAATATTTTTATCCTGAAAATAATGGGTCCCAAGCTTGCTAGCTTTGAGATTCTTTCACTGTGATTTTCCTGTTGTTCCACAAACTTTTAACTTAGTGTTTATAAGCTGACATTGCAGCTATATTTCACTTCTCATGAGAACATGCTTTTAATAGACAATCTACATATGCCTAAAAGCAAGATTCAAACCCGCAAGATTTCACAATCCTCCACCATTTCACATTTGATTGGAAATATAAACTTATGTTAACTTAGCTTTTCTCTAACTTTGAAAATGTTACTTGAAGGCACACTTCAATGATCTCAATTGTTTACTGGCTTTTAATGGGCCTCATGTGTGTTTATACTCCAACATTACTTACTATAACTATAGCTAGAGCTGAGATTATCTGATAGTCTATTAATAAATTCCTCTAAAACAAAATGGGAACTGTCACGGTGAAATATTTTTGTTGGTTTTCTAGTTATATACAATTCAGAGAAAAAGAATTGTTTTTCAATGTGAAAATGAAGACTATCAAGGGCTGGCCAAATAGCTCAGCAGACTGAAGTGCCTGCTTAGGCAGAGTGCAGCACCTGGGGTTCAGTTCCTGGCTTGCCATGCCAGCCCTGGCCCTGGGGAGTGATGAGATGGCTTGAGATTGGAATTGGTGGCACGAGCCTATAATCCCAGCACTTGGGAGGTTAAAAACAGGAGAATCACTATGAGTCTCATCTATGTAATGAGACCCTGTAAACTCTGTACTAAATATATAAAAACGAATTTCTATATTAATAAAATTTAAATTTTGCTGAACACTTAAACTGAGATGTGAAATCTAGCCATCTTGCTAAGCATTTTGGCTTTTATTTACCTCTATAACATTAAAATTATATGTGCACAATGATCATTTTCTAAGAGTCCGAAACTCTCTGATCTCTGAACTAAAGAGATGAAAACTCATATCACAGATCGAACTTGGATGTGGGAAGACATGTGAGCTAAGATAAACTGGGAAGACGTACTTTGTATTAGATTGCAATGCCCATTGGCATCCAGAATTTCTCCAGAAAGGAAATGAAGAGGGGAAACATTATCATATGTATCTTTTTTGAAACAGGATTTCATCATGTAATACATTAGAATTTGTACTGCCTTTACCTCACTATAAAGCACAGACTGGGACTGAACTTGTAATTCTCCTACTTTAGACTTCCAGAAGAGCAACCAGTCGTATATTTTGGTTTCCAATTGTGATTCCTAGTTCTTATTTCCCTCCCATGGAAAATCACATAAATTTGGACTTATCAAAGGATAGTGAGCCATTAAGACCCTCCTCAGCCCAGGGGAGCTCTGTACTGTACCTTGGAAGAAGGAATGCTGCACAGAGAGTCCAAGAAGAATCTGATCAGACCAGCTCTGTTGGGTTTCTTCACCCAGTCTATCAGCAGTCATGCCTATGCAAGGAAGCCTTCATAGAGAATCAGAAGAACATAGAAAGTCATATTTCAGAGAGCTTCCAGATAGCTGACTGTGAAGAAGTTCCTGGGGTCAGTGTTCCTGAGGGATGGGGTGATGGAGGTTCCATGGTGCATCTCTCATATCTCACTCCATGCCTCTCTTCATCCAGCCATGTATATGTGTCACTTACATCATTTACAGTAAACTGGTAAACATAAGAAGACTAATCTAATAAAGAGGTACATGAACCCATTTATATCTGTCAGTTAGAAGTTCTGGTGAGAATACATAGGATTTATCACTAACATCTAAAGTCAAGGTGTGAGGAAAGTTTGGGGGGACTCAATACATGTGATCTGATGCCTTCTTCAGGTAGATGCTATTATTACTAGATTAAGGGTAATGACACTCTGCTGGCTCCCAGCACTGCAGCATTGCTCCCTTGCTGGTGAGGAGAAAGTCCTATCTCCATTGAGGTCTTGGAAGTGAACTGTGTTGTGAATATGTAGTAGGAAAACCTGACATCAGTTGGGGGTCACAGTTTTAAATACTGTTCCATGCTTAAAGAAATGTCTCTTTCCTTGAAGATCACATTTTTTTAGTAGCTGAACATGTTAAAAACCTGTTCAGAGATCTTGTGCAGTGGGAGAAGAGGTGTGACTGTGGAAGATGCTCACGCTGAAGCTGTGAGAAGAACGATGCAGAACGCAAGAGAGGAAGGTGAAAGATGAGTTCAAAAGCTGTTAGAATAGTCACCTGGAAAAAGACTTTGAGCCTGGAGGAGATGGCCTTGTGGGGAGGATGAGGACCGGTCAGTTTGTTCATTGTGTTCGAAAACTAAACCACCAGCATCTGATGAGCAATTGGACAGGGAAGATGAAAGAAGTTGAGGAACAAAGCACGTCCTTAAGTTTGGGCAAAAGAGAAATCTGATTAGTTCTGTGAACACTTGCGCACATATGAGCCTGGAGTTAAAACAGATCTGTGCCAGAGCTAAATTGTGAGAGTCATCAGCCCTATACACTGTATTTAAAGTGAAGCTGATGAGATCAATATGGGAGTCCACAGAGACAGGGCAAGATCTGGTCCCTATGACAGTGTTCTTTACGACTATGATTGCCATTTTATTATATGACAATATATCATGCAGTTTATAAAGCATGCAATTTAATTCCTTACACATTGAATGTAATGTAATTCATGCTCTGTCTTCCACCAGAAAACCAGCAGAAATAGTGTACTCAGGAGAAGCCAGGAAGAATATTTTTATGTCATCATTTCACTTAATAGATCTTGGTATTCATTTTCCTTCTACTTTCCTCTACCCATTAGAGATGTTATGCAGACAAAATATGGTCATTTAGGCCAGAACACAGACATTGGTTAGAGAGTTTTCTTTCTGTAATGTTTAATAGTCTTCCTGAAAAAAAATCACAGTTCAAAATGGAGTGATATGTAAACATTGTTTTCACCATCATGCAGTAGAATAAAGATAGATCAAAATGTGAAGGCTTAAAGAGAGACAAAACTGAATGCATTTGGAGGCAAAAAAGAAAATAACAAAATGTTTAATAGATAATATCTTTTGTGATACTAGTAATATTGATCCGGTTCACTATAGCCAACAGTTCTTTCAAAATAGTTTTTCCTTAATTGGGTAGTGCTTTCAATATTTTATTCTGGAGATCCAGATTTATTTCTGTACTCAGAAAAATTAAGGAGTAAATCATTGAGAGATGAGATAAGATGGATGCTTCGAGCTAGAAGACACTGCAGCCCTAGCGGAGCCCTGTGACCCCATCTCTTGCATCTATGGTGCTCATCTACTTGAAACCCCAGGTTGTTCGTGGATTTATGCTTTGTAACATATTTTCTGTTCTCCAATAATCTCACCCCACATTTGTGCTTATTCTTCAAAATACTGAGAAAATATTATCTTTTTTGTACTTCTACCAATAATTAATCTCTCCTCTTCATCTAATGCCTGTGCCTGTGGTACATACACCATACATCAGGTGGTTATTTACAAAGTGTTCTGTCTTTCTTATTAGTGCATGAGATGGCTAAAACTATTCCATACCCATTAATTTCAACTTCTTGCCTACTTGCACAGTGCTGGTGATAATGACGAGGCAAATGACATAACAACTCAGCAAGTGTGTGCAGAAAAATAACATTTATGTGACTCCATTGGCACATAGATTAGATCACTGTATCATAATTATGCAAAATATTTCTTCAAAATATAAATTTTATTATATAAGAAACAGTCATATGGATTCAATAAAGGTCAACTCTCTCTGTAGAAATAATCATAAACACTTCTCTGGGGCATAGACCCCCTAGATTTAATTAATCTATGTTGTTGATGAAATTCATGAAGAAGTTTTCATGAAAATGAATGTTTATTAAAGGCCTGTCAGCAGTCAGACTGCTAACGGCAAATATTGCTGATGGAATCGTGCGGTTCCGGTCTCCCCACCCACATCTGGGAGGCAGGAAGGACTGTGTTCTCAAAGAGAACTGTGAACTTGGAAATACAAAGGAGGGTAGTTTGGGGGAAAATTTTTTTTCACTCTGAAATTTTTAATTTTCAACACAGAGAATAAAAACAAGTAAGAATGATATAGGATTTTTTTAAAAAAGATGATAAAAAATTTTTGCAGAAGAAATGGTGATACAGTGATTTTAAAGGATGACATCCAAGATTGAAAAACATCTTAAGTAACTAAGACATCCCCAAATTAAAACAAAAAAAAAAAAAACCCACATCTCTCCTAACCAAAAGACTGTAATGCTTGCTTGAGAATTACAAGGCTGTACTCAAAGCCAGTGGCCAACTGAGATTTACAAAGTGCAAACAAATGCAAATGAAGAACAGGCCAGAGGCAGCTTCTCAATAACATAATCTAGGTCCATGGAAGCTATGAAAGCATAAGAATGGAAAGTAGAAAAGAGCCATGACAGATGAGTCTGATATGAAGCGTACTTGCCAAAAATTCTCTATCAAGTGCAGCATACCTCTTAGTTCTCCTTTTTTATTTCACACACTCATGTTACTTCATGAACAAAATCAAAGGGAACACATGAAACTAATGTCTTACAGAAAGCAAACTAAATCATCCAGTTAACAAATACTTATGCTCTGACAGTATAGTTTTATCTGGCAGATGTTTTCTTGGTCTTCTATAGTTCAGTCTGCAGACTTTTTTTTTCAGATTTGAAGGAGCTGACCTTTTTTTCATAAAAATTCATTCCTAGGTAGGAGCCAAGTAGTAATCTAAGATGTTTCTTTTTCATTTAACTGAAAATAGAGTTAGAATATCTCAGATATGAGGACCAAAGCCTTGAAAAAGGAAAAGTAGACATCCATAAGTGAAAATATTTCTAGTCATGTATCAGGGGTGTGTAAACACAATCTTTGTGACTCTTCTCTTTGGACTCAATTGATAATTAAAAAGCTTTACCACATAGCTTCAGTTACTTTGAATTATAATTTGAAATAAATTTAGCTAAATTATAGTTACCTCATTTTTTTCTTACTTGCTCATTTTCCTTGCATGGTGGAGCTCTTATCCAAATTTCATAGTACAGTAAACTAAGAAGAATAAGTGGAAACAAAGACTCAATCTGAATAGGCCAATTTAATTCTTTTACAATTTTTCCAGGTAAGTATTTCTGTTTTTGACTTGAAGTCTCACTATGTTGCTAAGATTGATTTGAACTTTTGTGGTCAAGTGGTCTTCTTCTCAGCCTCAGAAGTGCTTGAATCTCCAGGTAAATGGCATCATCCCTAGTATGTTCATTACTTTTACTTTGTCTCAGTCTCAGAAAGAAGAATTTAGGCCCTAGTCCTACTCTACTCCATCCACTTCATCCATAGAAGTCAAATCATTTAAAGAACACAGTTCTTGGACAGATCAGCACAGGGTTGGTAGAAATCAATTTTGGAACGATGTGTTTTCAAAGACTGTCATAGCAAGCAGCCAAATAAACCATCTCCTTAATAATACTTTAAAAATATATGGATAGAAATTGAGTCACATCCTTAATTGTCAGTGCCTCTCCACAAAGCAGGATGAATCTTTTTGGAATGAAGAATCACTCTTCACTGTTGACTTGGATTTACATTTGGTGTCCTGGGTTTGCCAGTGTGCTCCATTACAATTGTGGATGGCCAAATTCAGCTCTCAAAGCTTGAGAAAAGAAATGATCCAAAGATGTTAGCTGTATGCTAAATTATCAATCAAATAAAATGAATATTACACAACACCCAATAAACAAAAACATCTCACATAAATTCTTTCATAGAAAATACTCCTAAAATATTTTAAGACTAGCAGTAGAAAATAATGAGAACTTATTAGAGTGGTGAATTGTTTCTTCTGTTTTATTTGCAATCAACTTTATTCATTTTCCAAGTAGAATTTTAGGGGTTAGAGATGATGGAGCACATGTATAGCATTTTTAAGACCTGTATTAAATCCCAAAATGACAAACAAAAGAGAAATTAGTTTTCTTAATTAAATATATTTATTTTTAATTTTAAGTTAAATTTATGTACGCATGTTATGTGTGTGTGTGTGTGTGTGTGTGTGCACGTGCACACACACACAGTGCTGGAGACTTAATCTAGAGCTTCAGATATGCTCATCAAGCAATCTACCACTGAGCTACATTCCCAATCCTGATTAAATTCATTTTAATTGGCATATAAAAATAGAAACCACACACATTTATGGGATACAATGTGATATACTGACATACTATGTAGACACATTGTATGACATCAAAAACAATTTAAAAATAAAGAATTGGCATATGTTATGTACACATACCAAGTTCAAACATTATGTACTGAAGATGCGTCCACACAAAAAGGAATGATATCAAGGGCTAGGGAAAGTGGGTGGGTAGAAACTAAGAGAATGTAGAAAGGAATGAAGATTTGTTCTTTATGTGTACTGTACAAACTTCCCACGAAGAATGTAAGCATTATGTACTATGCACATGTACAAATAAACTAAAATTTAAAAAAATAAAGTTAAAAAATCTACCTTCTAAGTATTTCTTTATGTTGAAAACATCTTTTATTGTAGCTTTTTGAAATGTGTAATACTTTGCTATCTAGAATTGCCCTATTGTACAATAGTACATCAGCGCTACTTGCTCACATCTTATAGCTTACTAATCGTTTATGTAGAGTTACAAATTCTTGACCACTGCCTTTTCCCACAAATGTCAGAAACTCTGGATAAGAGGCCCATCCATCTCTTTTTATAAGATGCTTAAATTGATTCTGGTACAAGGGGAAACAGATAAAGATATAGATAGTGCTATAGAATACTGATTAGACAAGAAAAGAAAGAAAGAAAGAAAGAAAGAAAGAAAGAAAGAAAGAAAGAAAGAAAGAAGAAAGAAAGAGAAATAAATAGAAAAGATTATTCTTTCCCTATTACTACCAACCTAGTGAGTAGATTTTATTTTCTCAATTCATAAACAAATCCTTTGGTAAGGAAAACATGATTTATGAAACTGTTTTAAATGAATTTAATCCAGAACCTCTGATAAAGGGTCACTGGAAATATTTGTTCCACATGTACATAACCATTTGTTCTACTAAGTGCAATTATCTTTTTTTTTTCCACTGTATGGTAATTTTCTGTCATTTGGAAAATATGAATTTTTATTTTTTAAATGTTGCTTTTCCTAACAGAAAACATATCTACAAAACAGATACATGTTTGTACATAACAGTTACATAAATAGGTTCCTGGTAAATATTTTTATATTAAAAATAAAACTTTCAAATAAATTTAATGTGCTGTTACAAGGGACATGTATAAATTTAAATAATTAGTTATATGATTTTCCTGGCTTGAATTTAATTTTGATGACACAATTCAATTTCAAGTGTTCTGTGAAAGGCCTTCACTATTTAATATACCCATATTATATATTTTTCTGTGTTTGACAGCATCATGGGGCGGCGGAATATCTTTCTTGATCAGCAGGAGGACACTGATAACTATTCGGACTCTGTGAAATTCGATGCTCGTTCGATGACAACACTGCTCCCTCCCAGTAAGCAGAGGAGGGATATGGTGCTCAGGGGTGGTGAGTGCTTGTTTTATTCCAGGGCCATGAAAAATAAATCACAAATTATGTGGCTGAGAGCAACAAGATTAACCTGCAGCAACAATTCAGCAACTGAACAAATCCTGCCTTAGAATCACAAAGGGGGCTGGGAAGGCAGCTCTGTGCAAAGACCCTGGGGCCAATCTCCAGCGCTGCAGGCACTCAGTGAATGAATGGATTTCTTTCATAGTACTGAGGCACAGAAATCTGAAATCAAACTGTACACGAGTCTACTACCCTTCTCAACAGCTCTATGAAGGAATCGTTTCATGCTTTCAAGCAGCTCCTGGTACATCATGGTGTGCCTTGGCTTGGGGCTGCATCACTCTAATCTCTGCTCCCTTTATTTATTATTTCTTCCTACGTAACTTTTCTGGAAAGACCCCAGTCATTAGATTAAGGTTAATTTTAATCCAGTATGATGTCATTTTAATTTGAGTACATCTGGAAGGCTCCTATTTCTAATCAAGATAACTTTTATAAGTAAGTGGGCTTGGTATTTGAAAATATTTTGAAGGGACACATAATTCTGCCCATAAGAAGTGAATCAGAACTTTCAACAGGTTACAGCAGGAGCTCAAAACAAGCAACATTCAGCTCTACCTCAATAGGCTTTTTTAAGGTGGAAGGAAAGAATTTTTTACAATTCTGCCAAGGTTTGAAGAATGAATACCTGTGTCTAAAGACATATCTCAGTCGGAAGAAACAACACACATAAAGCTTTAGAGGATCGTATGTGAGATCCTACAAAAGCAACCCTGGAGTATAAAACTCCATCCCAGGGCAGGTAGATCTTGTGTGTTGCACAAAAGATGGATGTTACAGATTATGAATGAATGGCAAGAAAGGACAGTGGCCTTGGCAACAGAGAATTCTGTGAGATGTTTAACAGGTAGAATATGAAGAATTTTTATGATGAATTAGAAATAAGGGTTCGATCCGTGGCACCGCATGCCGACCCCACCCCCAGGTGCACTGAGCCGGTGACTGAGTCTGGGGGTGGCGGCGCATGCCTGTAAACCCAAGACTAGGGAGACAGAAATGGAGAGGATCACTATGAGTCCGAGCCCTGTAGTGAGACCCTGCAACCCACCCCCCCCCCACACACACACATATTTTAGAAAAGAAATACGACCCAAAGCCTTCAGAGTTAACCAACCTGAAAGGTGCAATGGCCCATCTTGCATGTATTATGGGGTATTTTTCTTTCTCCTTCAATTTCTTCCCTTTTACTTTTTTTTTCTTTACTCTGCTTTAGAAGTTTTTTTCTGATAATCTCTCTTACAATGTTACAGAGAAATATCTAATACGTTGCTTTCAGTTTAGATGCTTGTAGACAGAAAACAAATGTTACTTGGTTTGGGTTAAACAATTAGATAAGAGGGAGAATTTTTAATGGATATTTTGTTCACTTAATCAGAGAAAAGTCTTCCACAACAGCTTCCCCTCTATCTCAATATATTTTTCCTACAATTAACATGTCATTTTATGAATCACTGTTCCACATAAGGCTAAATTTAGAATAAAGTTAAATGATCATTGTTAATTTAATATGTTCTGAAATACTCCAAGTATGGGCTTCAGTGATCTATACTAATGCTTAATAATTACAAATCATTGTCTTTATTTAATTTAAAAATAATTTTTATTTTGCATGAAAATAAGAGGTTTCTGAATATATAAAACTATTAAGATAGAACTTGTAAAGAAAATTAATTTAAAAATAAATACTTGCTTATTAAAATATGGAAAATTGTTACTTGGAAAATTTTGCTTTACCTAGAATATATTGCCATATGAACTACACAGAAAAATAAAATTTATGCTTGTATATACTAGTGCTATACTAAAACTTACCAGATAATTCCATAAAATGAGATAAGCAAAACTTGTGGAAATTTAAGTTAAGATAAGTGGATAACTTTTTGCTTCCTACTTTGCAAATAAGGATTTTATTCCTTTTTGTTTAACCCAATATGTTTGATTGCAACAATGTAAGTGGCAACTACAATTTTTTTTTTTAATAGAGTAAGAAGAACAAGTTTTCTAACAATGTGTTGGGTTTTTTTCTTTAGATCCTAAAAACGGCCTCCAAGAGAAAATGAAGTCCTTCAAAGCTGCACTCATTGCCCTTTATCTCCTTGTGTTTGTTGTCCTGATACCTGTCATCGGAATAGTGGCAGGTACAGTACTCTACCATTCAAGCAGCATTCAGTTTGCTTTAGTGATAGATTCAGAAAGTAGTTTACATATACAAAGCGATCCTCAAATATATTAAATTAAAAATAGTTTCTGTAGTATTAAATGGAAAGAAATGAACTTTTAAGACTAAGAAAAATAGTGCTCGCTTCAGCAGCACATATAAATACTGGGCAAAATATATCAGAGTAAAATGAACATATAATATGTGGAAGTCAGAAGGGACAATTTAAACTACTTAAAAATATATTGTCCTTTAAAGACCTATATATTTCGAAGGACAAGCCACATATTTTGTGATAAGTATTCTGCTCCAATTTAAAAAAAAGAAAAACAACACCAGGGTAACATATGTTAACAACGTATATACTACAAAAAACAAACCTAATGTGTGAATCTTCTATGTCTATTATTGAGAGTAGAAAAAAAACATTGTAAAATATGACCTACAACTCATTTTAATGTTTATACAATTTATATGACTACATGTTTTATGACTATTATTTAAAACATCTCTAAAAATAAGATAAAAGCGCTCTTTTAAGAAATTCATGGACAGTGTTTCTGACAATACAATTTTCTCTAGCTATGTATTTCTCTGGGAAGTCTGAGGTTGAATTTGAGGACCTATATAAGAGTGGGTGTATATACCTCAACAATAGTGTAAACATCATTTTCCTATGTAATACTTTATGGTATCTGGTGTCTTCATGTTTGGTGGATTCTTTATTTTTTAAGGAGAATAAAAATAATATAAAAACATTAGAAACAATTCAGAATTTCACTAAACTAAATGATAGGAATTCAACAATGGTTATTACATTGCATAATGTTGTTTTCAGATTAATTGTTCAGATTACCAGATATAAGTATGCAAAATTGGTCAAAAAAATAAGAAGAAAAGAAAAAGTTCAGCATTAACTGTTTCTTTCAATAGACCAGCAGAAATATCCAAACTATCCTGTGTTTGGTAGATTTGACTGGCAATTGGATTTCTATGCCTTACCACTCTCCCCTTCTCTATGGCTGAAGAAGTGTCTGGCCATATGTCCTACCAAGGATAATTGGCCTAATGAGAAATTACTCCTAAATACAAAGCTCAACTTTCTGGTAAGGGATAATCTAAAGGAGGAAGTACATCCAAAATTCCACTTAGAAATTATAAAAGTGGCCATGTAACAATAGCTATTATTTTTAATATTTCCTGTGTCCAAGCATTGGGCTATAAACTTTCTACAGATTATTTTAATATACCTTACAGTTAACCCATATAATCAACCACTCTATAACTATCCTTATTATGCACACAAAGAAACAAACTCCTCAATAATAGAGACATAGTTCTCATCTATAAATCTGGATCCTATCATATCCTAGTGTAATTGAATTTTTATAACAAAATGTGGTTGTGCATCCACAACAACCAAACCTGCAGGAAAAAATACAGCCATCTAAAAATAAATGGTTCTGATGTGCCTGAAATTAGCCCACTTCCTGATGAACCCAGGTTTTCTCCATGTTGTCTGCATGTGTCATCTGAAATCCAAAGTTCATACCTGAAAAGATGCACTGTTGGAATTATTAGCTGTATATTAGTTAGCATTTAGATACATTTCATTATTTTATCATACATTCATAATAAATAATTGACTAGTAAGTTGTAGGTCAGAATACTTTTCAAAGAGGACTTTAATTAAAAAAATTAGAGTAGTGGACAATATATATCACTGAAATGGTAGAAGTTACTCTGTTTGGGAAATATGAATTGATTGATGAAATAAAATATTGGATGAAGAAGATATTTAACTTTAATGTGCCTCGTATATTGTAAGATGTTTTCTTAATTATAGGATTTATTCCCTATGCTACCTTTTCTTAAACTGCTGAATTAATGTCAGAGACTTACAATGTAATGATGTCTGGGAACAATCTAATGCAATCTGAAGTTAATGTTCATAAATTGCTACTCAGATACTAAAAATACTTCCCTCAAAACACTATAGATTTATGATAGAAAAAGATATGACCCACATTAAGAAGTAAATAGGACCTGTAGAATCAAATATAACTTTCTACCTAGGTCTTTGCAGGGACTAGAATATTGTCTCCTTTATGTATGAAGTAGCAAAGTGAAAAAATGTGAACTGTTCAATGACAATTTTAAAAATGGGCTTTGGAAAATACATGCTCTGGCACTATCCACTGAGCCGTAAGATAAGGAGTTGAATATTTTGTTAAAGAAAGGAAAGTTCAGGCTAGGAAGACAGCTTGGCAAGAGCAAGGATCTCAGTTTAATCCCCAGTACTACATGCTGTGCCAGCCCCGGAACCCTGAGTGTGCTGTGCCAGTCCCGAAACTGGGCATGGTGGCACATGCCTGTAATCCCAGAACTAGGGAGGTTGAGACAGGAGGATCCCTATGAGACATGAGACCCCATATCATTTAAAAAGGGGGTAAAGTTTAAATTAACTTCATTTTATGTTAAACAACAAGCACTATGATAGTCACTGTTTATTACTTAAATAAGATAAATATTTATTACTTAAATAAGATAAATATTAAAGGAATTTAATGAGAAAAATATAAAAAATTAAAACTTAGAATTTAGTTACAATTAGATTATAACAATTATTTTTAATATGAGCATAGTTACAGTAACTATGATCATCAACTTCTGCTGCAGACACCATAACTAAGACACTATCATTCATGAATAGGCACTTTGTAGTTGAGCAGACCTTTAACATGTGTCTATTTGCCTGGTAGGGGATGTACATGCTTGATTTCACTCAGGCTCAAATCACCATTGAGGTAAATGTTACTTTTACCTCTTCCTATGGCAAGAAGTGTGCCCACATTTATGTAAAATGTAGCCTGAGTTAGGTATGTAACTAAGTGTGTGTGTGTGTGTGTGTGTGTGTGTGTGTGTGTGTACTCATCTAATCCTCAAATATCTATGAACTGGTAGTACTACCATATAGAAAACTAATAGACTCAGGTGTGTTTTTATTGTTCCATAATTGTGATTAAAACACACATATATGTAGTTGATAAATATGGATAAAAATTTAGAAAACTAGTAAAATCTTAACCAATACAGATAGTAATAAAATAATGTTTAACTTTTTATTCATTATGTGTATTTTTTTTCTACCAAGTTAGTGTTTGTGAGTTCTTTTCCTTTTGAAAACTATGCAGCACATTGCTCTAGAGCATTTTGGAAGATTAATTAGCTTGTTTAGAAAGCATATGCCCATTTGGAGATATGAGTCAACAGTTCAATATGCTACTCAAATGCCATTGGATAGAAATTTTCTTCAGGTGATAACTTATGCCAAGACCGATAAACGTTAAATATATTGTGAAGAAGCAGCAAGATAGCTCAGCAGACTAAAGTGCCTGCTTAGGCAAGCTTAGGCAAACACAGGGACTACGCTTCGATCTTAGCCCCACATGCTGTGCCAGCCCTGCCCCAGGGCAGGTTGAGCCAGCCAAAGTCTGGGGGTAGGGGTGCACATCTGTAATCCCAGAGCTGGAGAGGCTGAGAACAGGAGGACTTGTGAGTCCAAGCTGCATGGTGAGATCCTGCAACAACCAAAATACATTTAAAAAAAATAAAACTTGAAAAAATATATTGTGAAAATGGAAGCAAATAGATATTAGGATTTTGTTAAATAAATTTGGTGAATTGATACGAAGAACACAGTGTGGTTGTTGAATTATTTTTCAGAACAATATTGGATAATACTAAACAATATTATGAATAATGTGCTATTAAGAAGTAATTTACAGATTATATATAAAATAAAGTCTTTCTTCCCAATACTCTATAATGGAAACAGAGAACCTGTTTTAATATACAAAGAAAGTCAACTTCAATGACCAGAGGAATGAGTTAGGCAGAAGTTTAGAAGGAATTACATAAACCTGGAATAAAATCCTGTCTAAAATGTGAAAGGGAGACTTTATAATCTACTGAGTGTGATTCAGCCATATCGCTTTAAAGTAAATGTTCAACTTATGGTGATATTCAACATGTTGTAATGGAAGGAAATAAAATAGGTGAATGAAATGATACAATATGGAATGATGCATGCACTTAAGATATGTCATAATTTAGTTTATAATTACTTAAATGCACAGCTCATCTTCTGAAGCGGGAAGTGAAGAATTGCACAGTTGGTTCAATTCATGAGAGTGATATATCTCAAAGTCTGGGAAGAGGAAATGGCAGTGAAGATGAAATAAGATTTCGAGAGACTGTGTTGGAACACATCAACAGCATGGAGAAAAGCATTCAATACATTTCAGCTGCAGAAGCCAACTTCATAGATTCAGAAAGCTTCCAAAACTTCAGTATGACAACTGATCAAAGATTTAATGATGCACTCCTGCAGCTAAGTACCTTAGTTTCCTCAGTCCAAGAGAGTGGAAACGCAGTAGATGAAATTTCCAAGTCATTAATAAGTCTGAATACCACATTGCTTGATTTGCAGCTCAACATAGAAACATTGAATAGAAAAGTCCAAGAGGCTACTCTGAAGCAGCTAGAGGTAAGAGATTTTGTACTGCAGCATCACTTTCTGGAACTAAGTCCCTCCAGATTCTATCTACTGAGGCGATCCAGGAAACAAAATACGCAAATACAGTTTTAGCACTTTGCCATTTACCTTGACTCTTCTAGTAATCTGACTAAAAGGTTTTAACTGCCTTCACATAGTACCTTTTCCAGACTCCTACCACAAAGTGCAACTATTATCCATTGGAAATAAAGTCCTTTAAAGTATTTAATTATATATATAAAACATTATAGTGCTTTCTTAGACTGTTGAAGCCAATTATACATTTTAGATTATTTTAGCAGATTTGTACAAGCATTTACCTATATTTTTGAATTTCACAATAGAGCCAGTATTTATTTACCAAAGGAATAGAACTCTTTACATGAATGTCTTGCAAATTAAATTTTGATTTATTTTGCTATTTATAAGAGTTATACTTGTTCTTATATATAAAAATAACTTAAACTAAAGAGTTAAATTTTGAATAACATATATATATATATATATATATATATATATGCACCCTAAGAAAATAATAAGATACTAATGTATGATTATAGTATTATAATAATATACTAAAGTACACATTAAAGTATCTATTTCGGGGGCCTGGCCCTAGCTCAGGCCTTTAAGTGGCTGCTTCCACAAAGCTGTCAGCCTCAGGTTGCTGGAGTTCGAACCTCACACCTCTCCCGCTGGCCAAAAGTGCCCTGAAGGCATTCGAGGAATAAAGTATCTATTTCTAAGAAAACTGATAATCATTATTAGTGAGAAAAACAGGAAAAGAGAAGCACTTTTTATTTCTTTTTTATTCTTTTGAATTTTATGTTTTTGTTTTTGTTTTGTTTTGTTTTTTTTCTTTAGACGAATCTTGCATGTTTATATCTGGAACTTGAACAACTAATTTGAAGATAGCATCATGCAATACAGCAACAATTGTCGAATTCCTATTACTTTGCTTAGTGAAACTTTGTATTGTTTCTAAAGCTGTTTTTTCTATCACTATTCTGTATTCTTTTTTAAAAAAAGCTGCAAAATGAGCAGATATTCCTTTATATGGCTGCCAAGCAGAGCAAGACTTACTCAAGAAAAGCTTTCCATAGAATGTTTTTATAATGGACCAGAAGCAAACACTTTAGGCTTTGGGGACCCTACATTTCTGTCACATCCACATTTAAAATGAAAGTATCAAACATAGACAATACATACAGAAATAGAAAAAAGGTTTGGGCCAACAACTATTTTTTATTTTATGTATTTAGAGCAGGGTCTACAGTGTCTCACTATACAGATCAGACTCCTAGTGATCCTCCTGTTTTCATCCTTTTAAGCTCTGGGATTATAGGCATCTGCCACCAAACCCAGTCTCAGTTGCCTCTCAATGTGCCCTGGGGGCAGGGTCATCATCGTACACTGAGGATAGAATCCCAGTCCTTGTGCCTGCCTAAGCAAGCACTTTAGTCCCCTGAGCTACCTGGCCAGCCTCCAACAACCATTCATCTATAAAAATAGTCTATAGATTGAACTTGGCCCATGAGCTATGATTTTATGACTTCTGTCTAGAGCATTCTATACCAACTCTGATTAAGATCTGGATTACTCTGCAGTTATAAGTAAGAAATGAAGAAACATAATGTGTATTTTAAATTGTATCATATGCTGAGTGATTATATTTGTTTTTCCATGAAAATGAAATGCTTAACAGTTCTCTACCCATGTGAAAAATAATTATATGACTAAAATATGTAGTACTTCAGACTGTAATGTGAACCCTTTGTTTCCACCATTGGTTAAGTAACCCCACTATCATTGGAATAAATCTAAGTTGAGTAGATCCATTCTTAGAAAGGTTATTTTCTTTATAAAATCATTAGTAAAACTAGTGATTTTTTTAAATTGAAGAGCAAACATACATCTCTAAAGTTATCGCAGCATATGAAAACCGTGGAATTATCAACTGAAAGCAAATTAAACAAGTTAAATCCTTCTTCTGTATAATTTTTGAGATTAAATCATTCAAAACTTTGAAATTTTTACATCCTCCTCCTTTTAAAGTGTTTCAATATATGGCACCACTGTTTAACCGTTGATTTCGTTGGAAAACTCATTTTAGCAATAACTATAATATTTAGCTCCTTTTCCTGCTTACTTTTTCAAAATCTGGTAAGCAGTGTTTCCTACATTATTAATAACAATGTATTCATTTTAAATATGGTGTAAAAAAGAAATTGTCCAGGGGTATGAGTGATGTGAAAGACAGAAGACAAAATGTTAGTTATGATAGACTTTGATTAACCTGAAAAGAACTATCACTTTATGTACAAATTAAATCAGAAGCAAAAGAAAAGATGGACAAAGTGAAGAAAAAGGCACATTTACTGTGGTAAAGTGCCAAGCTCAGAAAAAGTGACAGAGTATCTTTGAGCTCACACTGAGTGACACTGTGCAATAACCTCAGAAACCTTTTGGAAGGCAAATTTCCAGTGAAAGAAAAAGTAAGTTAAATGAGTGGCCATATAAATAAATGATCTTTGAAAAAGTCTGTAAGTAATACCAACGTTTATCATAATTTGAAAGAAAAGGGAAGAAAACTGATACTACATATGGATGGTAGAGGTGGAATATATCATCTCCATATTTCAGAGGAGAGACTGTAAGACCACAAAACTAAGTGTGTGCTTCCAACAATGCTACTGTTAGCAGAGCGTGGAAAGTGTGCATCAATATGGTATAAGGTTTTGAAAATGTCGAATGCATTTTCCACCTCCCAGTAAAAGTAATTCCAAGAGAAACTTAGCAAATGTGAGCATCATGTAGTTTTCAGAGACAATTCCAAGTTTCTAAATAGCAAAATCACTTGCTAGTTTTCAAACTCTTATTCTGTGGATATCTGGAAGTATATGACACATTTGCAACAATTTTTAGTCACTTGAATGAAATTGATCTCATGATGAATATATGCTGCAATGAAACTCAGTTTGGATAGTTAATATATGCTACTAATAAAAAGGAACCTATAAAGTATCTTAAAATTTTTTAAATATCTACAGTATAATTCCACTACATAATTGAAAATAAGTCTGTCTTGAAATTTTATAGGTAAATATTATATAAAACAAATAGTATATAAAACAAATCAAAAACACGTTCCAGACCATGGTGCTTTTATCTCTCTTTCACAAATGCTCTATGTGTCTGTGTGTGCAGGTATGTAAATATACACAAAATATGTTCACAGTTGATAACACATAGTATTTTTTTTTTGAGGCACCAGGTACTGAACTCAGGCCCTTGTGCCTGCCAGGCAAGCACTTATTCTACCTAGCCATCTCCCCGGCCCAACAGATAATATTATTAAAGCCTTAAATGCAAAGATGATAGGAATTGAAAGTAAAATGCAAACACTATGCTACTTTGAGGTTTTATTGAATATGAAAATTGATTCTTAATAGTATCACTAAGAATTAAGTTAAACTGGTTATTTCTGTAAAACAATTTAGTGTATGAATTTTAAAAATTAAAGGAATTGAAATATTTTGCCAACTTAAGTGTACTCTAAAGAAATCTCACTTCAGGTAAATGAAAAATCATATTACAAGTTTTAATTTTTATTTTTACAGTTTGATATCTAAATATTTGGGAATAGAAACCTCCCTCACATACACATTGACATGATTTGGGAGAGAGAAGCTTTGGTTGGCCAGCAAAATTTTGTATATTTAGTCAAAAGAGGAAATGCTTCACAAGCACTAAAGTACAATTTTAAAGTAGTTTTCTAAGTCTCATATTCTGTGGCGTCTCCATAATATATTTTATAGAATCCTGAACTTCCAAGGCTTCTTCACCTTATATGTTTGATAATTATATTGTAACAAAAATTGTGATTACTCGCTGTGCTTCACAGAATATTAGTGCGTTGGAGGAGCATATATACAATGCATCAGCAGAAATTAAGTCTCTGAAAGAAGAACAAGAGCTTGTGGAAGAGGAATTAAGGAAAGAATTGAAAGTGCTGAATAATGTCACCAATGACCTCAGACTGAAAGATTGGGAACATTCTCTGACACTGAAAAATATCACTTTGGTGCAAGGTAAAATGTTTTGTTGTTTCCCTAGAGAATAACATGTATTAAAGTGATAAATGCAGAAGTTTGGGATTTGAAATTCTGTGGTTTAAAATAAACATTTTAAGTGTTTATTATAACTCCACAGATAGAATGTTAAGGTCAGATCAAACATGGTAAGGATAACCTGTGTTTACCATCTAAAGAGAAAGGGATAAATTCATACCTTAAAATCCAGGGAATATCTTATTGATAAATATACCCAACTGTGTTAAAGACCAATATAAGTTTTATATAAGTACAGAGTACTTTGTATGTCCACAGACTGTCTATTAATTTTATTTTTCAAATTTCCAGTTCTTTCTTTTTTCTTACCTGACTTACTATACATTAGGTCTTTTGAACACTCTATGAAATAATAATTTATAGATTTCTTTTGCAGTTCTTGTTAGTAAATCTAGGTGAATTCCCTATTGCTGATTTTTACATATTTATTTTTTGTGTATTTAGTACATGGTCTACAGGATCTATAGAGTCTCACTACACAGGTAGGACTCGTAGTGATTCTCCTGTTTTCAGCCTCTCAAGCGCTGGGATTACAGGTATGCACCACCAACCCCAGTCTCAATTGCCATCTCAGTGGGCGGGACTGGCACTGCGCACTGGAGATCAAACCCTGGCCTCTGCACTTGGTCTAAGCAGGTGCTTTAGTCCACTGAGCTATCTGGCTGGCCCAATTGCTGATTTTTAATAAGCACAAATCATATATATTTTCATACTATCTTTCAGTTAGATTTGTGCAGTAGGTATTTTCCACATTTTATTTTCAGATTTTGGGAACATTTGTATTTTTATTTCTTTGCTATAATAATTTCTTTTTACTATATTTGTTTCTATCATCATATTTTTATGTTGTGTTTTTCCAATTTGTTTTACATTTCTTCTGCTATCTTTTCTTGTCTGTCTTTGAATTGATTGCGATTTTTATTTTATTGAATTTTTCTATCAATATTACCACAAGGACTTTAGAAACTGTATTGTATATTACTATTTTCTTAACTACGCCTGAGAAATGTATTCTGATAAGGTGTAAAGTTGATCAACATCAAAATGTGTCATTCTAAAATATATAACGAACCTAAAATACTTTGTTCAACAATTTCTTTTCCTAGTTTTCTGCTGATCATGAATGTAGTTCATTTCTATTTCTCAGAGACTAAGAATTCAGACAACACCAGAGCATTTTTTTCCATAAAGAGAGTATTTATTTAGATTTGCCTGTGAGTACACCACTTGTCTCACTTTCTAAATAAGTCTTGGCTACCTCTTCTAGAGTAATTGTTTTTTATTTGTTTGTTTGTTTTTCTGCTTAAAGTACACATTTTTAAAGTTAACTCAGTGAAAGCCCATTGATGGTGAAAACATTTTACTTTTTTTTCTCTGTTTTAAACTTGATCTTTAAAATTACCTTACATATGCACACTTCCTTGGTACTGTTGTTCCTCAGAATCACTGGGATATTGGTTCCAGTGCCCACATACACACAAAAATTCTGTGGCTACCCAAGTCTCTCCTTCTGCATACTTTGCATCACTTCTAGATTAAGTCTAAAACTTAATATAAAGTAAGTACTATTAAAATGTCATCATATTGTATTAGTTAGGGGTAACATAAAAATACATTTTCATATGCAGTGCAGATACTTTTTTCTTTTAAGTAGGTGGTTCATGAATCTTGGATATAAAATCTTGGAATACAAAAGACTGATTATCTTTTTTCTTTTTCTTTCTTTTCTTTTTTTTTTTAACGGAACCCAGGATTGAACTCAAATCCTTGCACTTGCCAGGGAAGCGCTTATTCTACTGAGCCAACTCCCCAGCCCCTAAGACTGATTATCTTTCAAAGAATTTTTTCCCTGGCTTCTTGCCAGGGGAAAAGAAGCTGCTCTTGAAATGACTGTTACACATTTAGCTCAACAGATTAAAATGCCTGCTTAGGCAGACATAGGGTGAGCCAAATAGCTCAACGGATTAAAATGCCTGCTTAGGCAGACACAGGGACCACCATTCGACCCCCAGCATGCTGTATCTTGCCAGCCCTGGCCCCTAGGGGCACACTAAGATGTGATTGAGGCTGGGTATGGTGGTGAGCACCTGTAATCCCAGTGCTTGGGAGGCTGAAAACAGGAGGATCACTAGGAGTCTTATTTGTGTAGTGAGACCCTGTAGACCCTGCACTAAATACATTAAAAAAATCATGATATTGTTTGAGAAATCTACCTATTTGACATTTGTTCTATTTTCTAGATCAGTGGGTTTATATATATCATCAATAGGAACATTATGAGTTTTCATATCTTTGAATATTGTTTCTGCATAATTCTATCCTTCCCTCTGTAACTCTGAAGTCATGTCAGATCATTCTTTCTTTGATGCTTGTTAAACTCTATTTCAAGATTTCAATATTTTTATTATCAGTAATTAAGAACAGAAACCAGGAACTTCATGAGATTTCATTTTATATATACTAGCCTAAGAAAATTAAAAAGTTTCATAATCTACATGTTGACAAAAATACAAGTCCCAAGAGATTACACTGTATAACTTCTGATATTAATGCTCACAATTTAGTGACATTAATTAATATAAGTGGATACCCACATACATATTTAATAAGAACAGTTATTTTTAAGTGAAAGAATAAGAAACATCAAATTCATATTTATATATGAAAAGCAAATAGATGGAGGAGATAGGGAGCATTTAAGTAGATATCAATTTCCTGAGTTGCAATGTTTTAGGAGTGTTCTTGTTATTGTACTTTATATGTTATGTAGCAGCCAAACTACACATGTTCTTTATTAGTAGGAATTTAAATTACTCATCTTTTCATTAACAATTAGGGTCCACTTTTGATTTCAAATAAGCATCTCCAACTCTTCAAATCCAAAAACCAAACCCTTGACCCTTCACTAACTCACCCCCAATAACTATAAAGTCTGTCACTGGTCCTGTCTTTTTGTCAGTTGTATCACTCTCCCTCCAGTTACTCACTTCAAGATCCTAGAAACTGTCTTTTACTTTTCTCTCAGTCTCTCCTACAATCCATCGATTAATCTTAATCCTACTGGTATGCAATATTTCAAATAAAATTTCTCAATATCTCTTCTACTCCTCTAATCTTATAAGATTAATGGGCAATTCATTCCAGCCTGGTCCACTATATCAGCCTCCAAAATATCCATGGTGACCTACTCTTCACCCATTCTATGTAGATGAAAGAAGTATTATTATAAAAACTCCTAATAAAAACCTCACACACATTATTAGATCATTCCTCTGCCATCCTTATGACTTTCCATTATCCAAACTTTGGCTTTAGAATAGAATCTAAACCCTTTTGGATTTGACACCCACCTTTTCTACCCTCATTTAAAAATTTTCCCTTTGACATTTTTTGTCTAGCTTATAAATGTGGAAAAAATGGAAATACCATGAAGATTAATCATTGGAGTTTCTAAAAAATGCATTGAGTTTTTAATTAACTATTTTATATATGAAGAAAAGTTCATCTAATGAGTAATGGAACAATAGATAACAAATTTAGGTCAAACAACTTTGAAATATTATAGCATAAAGTATCATGAATAAGTGTCCTAACACTGGCTTATTCAATAAAGGTTAAGATTTTAGGCCATTCAGTGCCTCTCCTCTGTATAGCTATACTGCTTTAAACAATTTTAAGACCTCTTCTTGTTCAGACATACCTAAATCAGTGAGCAAATAAACAGACCTTCAGACAAATAGGCTTAAATAGCAGTGGCCTAGGAGATTTTTCAGGATACTTTTTTTTTGCATATTCTAAAGCAATCTGGATATGAAACTATTCTGAAGATAAAATAGAAAATTAATAATTTCTCAGATTAGTAATCTCTTAGTTATTGTGGATTGATCATGTCTGCAATCTCTCAAACAAATGTTTGGTGAAAGTAAAATAAAGAAGCAAATGAAATGAGTTCAGGGCTATGGGAGGATCAAAGCCCTCTCATGAAATTCTAATCTCTTACGGCTAAGACCAAGACTTTCTCTGGGTGGCCCATATTTATTTAGTCATCAGAAGGAAGAGGATAACTCAAGAAGAGCAGAACCACTCAAGGACTTCTCCAAGTAAGAAAAGTTAACCTACCCAGGAGTGAGATTTCAGAGGCTGCAGTCTTTATCTAGTTGAGGTTGTATCCACCTGGATCCACCTGCCCTTCATTGCGATCATATCCTTTGAGTCTTTCTGGCTTCACCCACCATTGCATGCCTCACTAGGGATTACTGACTCACAGAGGTAGACATAACTATAAATCGGCTGCCCACTTCTAGACAACAGCCTGGGTGTTAGATTCACAAGCAAAAATAAAAAGCCCATTGGTTAATTTCAGTTCTGCTCAAGGCAACTTTGTAGTGATCTCCATAAAATAACCATAATGAACAAGACATGGGAAAACATCTCTCTGGAAACATATGTTATTAATGTTTCTGTATTCTGAGGATTTTAAATGATATGATACACCTGGGTTGCTCTTTGAGAAATTGGTGAGTGTAATTGTTGAATAGTCTAAATTGGTACATTTCTTGCAACTACAAAGAAGTCTTAACTTTTCTTCCAAAATAAAATCATGTAGAGAAAGTAAATAGGATTTCATATGGATATTTTATTAAAACAATTGTTTAAATGATTGAAAAAATGAATTCTTGTAGCTTAAAGAGAAAAGTATACGTTTTACCAATATTAATTTTACTTGTTTTGTTGTAAGTCATCAAGAGCTGATAGCTAGCATTATGTCCAATTATTAATGTGGAGAGTTCTTGGTTAATGTGTTTATTGAACAGAATCTCAAAGATGCTGAATAAAAACAAAGAAAGTGACTACAATATACTTTTAGTCTTCTGACTTACACGTCTCTATTTTTTCTTCTATACGGTGGGATTAAGTATATTTTATTATAAAAGTTTCCACTTTTAAGAAAAGTCAACATGTAGGAAGTATGAGAGTTCCATATACAAAATCCATTTAGACCAGAAAAAAAGTCTAGCATTAATTCAACTGCAGGGCCACGGGATATGAGCTACAGCAGGATCGAGGGATGCTAGACTTGGAAAGTCAGAGGAACATATTATATTGACAATATTCTCAGAAGTGTTGTACAAGATACTAAGAGAGCAGTGACTGATACTGATTTAAGATATGTTTACTTTGTATGGGGCCCGCCCCTGGGGGCATGCTGAGATTGAGACTGAGTGTGGTGGTGCACGCCCATAATCCCAGCACTTGGAAGGCTGGAAACAGGAGAAACACTATAAGTCCGATCTGTGTAGTGAGACTTTGTACACCACCTGTAGACCCTTCCCTAATTTTTTAAAAAAAGACACATTTATTTCACCTCCCAAACTAAAAGAGAAATAAATCGTTATATTTTGTTGAAGACAGAGAGATACTACAATATGTAAAAACCAAACTTACAGTACACAAATTATAATTAGATTAATATTAGACTAATAATAAAAGTATAACATCTATCATAACTAGTTAGACTATTTAAGCAAAACATTTGCCTGGTTTTATTATGTTAGGACTCAGATACCAGATGTCAGAAAAGAAAGGCAAAAATGTGACATTGGGAAGAACCATGGATATCCTTGGCTTCTAAACCCCAAATTGCATCTTGAAAAATAGAAAATATTAGATAAATTGAAGAAATAGGGACAAAGTTGTCCAAAGTAGCAAAAAGAAATGGGTGCAGTACACTTGCTCATGACAGTTTATACCTTGTAATCCCTCTTGGAATTGTATACAAATTATGCCTCCTGATCTTATTAAAATTTATAACAAGCAGCCTCCAATCAAGGATGCTAAGCATAGTTGTGCATGGTTCTGGGGGTTGCATATTTGGCCAAACCGCAGCAATAAAAAGTGCCTACATAACACATCACCACTTCATTATCCTATGGTACCAAATTTTGTTTTGCTTTGAGAGCAGAAAAAAATAGTGAATGCTCTGCTTTAAGAGGAGGAAAGAACACTGTCCTGTACAATCGAAGAAAGAATGTTGGAAGAGTGAATGCTGGCAGGATTCCTTTAACTCCTAGAGATATGGTGTAATCTGAAGAGGTGATTATTAGATATCTGCATTGCTGACTAAATGGATATGAAATACAGCACTCAGGGCCCACCTGAGAAGATGAGTAGCCAAGCAGTCAGTTTTCTGTGTGATCTCTCCACCTTATTTCATAATTCCTATAGTGATCTAGGGGTTCTACTTAATATTTTAGTTGAAAGAAAACTGTTTCTCTTTTCCGCTTTTTGTTACATGCTTTCTGATTATCCATTTCTTTCCTTTTCTGTTTGTGCCTATGTTTTAAATTAGCCCTCAATTTAAACTTCCTTGATAATGTCTCCATCTTTTAACATTAGTGTTGCTAAACATCGCTCTGACGGATGTGTACTTCATGCCAGGACCACCAGTATAGTCTTCAGTTGTCTTTAGTGCATGAATTTTTATTTCCCTTCAGAATGTCACATCTGTCTTATAAGTCTTTACTGTTACATCTTCTACATCTGTCTTATAAGTCTTTACTGTTACATCTTCTACACAGTATCTAATGCAATACAAGGAAATCTGCCTATTATATGCAAAATACTATTGTTGCTTAATGCTATTGTTGTTTTTTTCTCCCCATGTTCATGGCACCTGGAAAAGTATTGGCCACACATAAATGATATATATGTAGAAGGCTTAGTTTAGTGCCATACATCATTGTCAAAAGAATATTATGGTATTTAAAAGGAATATTCTTCTATTGGGAAGATGTGCTTTATTCATTTTATGTTATTGATGAACAAATAAAAAAATATATATATATATGTCCTTAAAAATGACAAATGTTTTACTTGTGTTTCATAATTATGATGAGTATTATAATTTTTTAAAGGTCCCCCTGGACCTCAAGGAGAAAAAGGAGACAGAGGTCCCCCTGGAGCTGTCGGTATTCCAGGTTTTCCAGGCCAGAAAGGTATGGTCCTAGTAATAGCTTACTTATACCCTAAATATGGAGAGAGGTAGTCTGCATCCATGTATGTGTGCAGGAGAGAAGAGCTGTGTTTATCCTGTGGTTCATGTGTGTGCGCAGGTGTGTAGTTATGCATGAATTGTGGGGAGAGATAGTAAATGTTCTAGAACACTAATAATATAGTGCACTGAATGTGAAGCATTAATTCTCTTTAACTTTGAAGAACATTACATTATTTTAGCTGAATTCTCTCCATGGAGTTGCTCATGAGTGGAAGGAGTGTCCTTTTTTATCACAAATTACAAACAACATATAAATGCTCTATGTGTGAGCAACATGTGAGGGAGAACATGCAAAACTATGTTCACATTGAAAACATATGCAAGATCTGCTTCTAAGATGCAAAATATACTAGTTATGAGTCAAGGCACATAGGAGTATGTGTGTTAGATAATCTTTGATCAAACTATATTTGCCTAAATTTACATAATCTGCAAGTAAACATTGGCTAGAACATACATGACTTTTTCTTTGCTGTCAGCCACTCTGTATCTTACTTAAAACAAACTTGTTTCAAATCATTGTCTTCTATGTTGTAATCTTGAAAGCAGTGTCTTCAAAGACAAGAATAGAACCCACAGCAAAGAAGGGAGAGCATGAGCGTTCTTTGCTTTAAAAAATGAAAAAGACAACAAGAGCATGACTTCCATGCTACATTTGTCTAAAAATCAAATCTCCTACATGCTATTTTGAAAGTAGGGACTATATTACACAGTCTAATTATAATAAAAACTTTTTGTTCTGTGAAAAGGTTATCTCAATGCCTAATATTTCATCTTATTTTTCTGTCTTTTGATTACATGAAACTTTCTTTCTAATCAATGTGTTGACTAGTTCAGGTAATATCAGGAAAATAGTTTTTAGAAATTAAAAACATGTATTTGACTGCTGCCTCAACTTCACATCATTATTTTTCAGAAGCAGCATGTAAGATATATATTTTTAAAAGATTGTAATCATTTTTGAAGATTATCAGAGCTAGATAGAAGATAGATAGATGCATGTGCTGGAAGGTTGGTATCAGTGTGCCATTGAAAATGACATCAAGGAAGAATTTTTGAAAGGTCCTTCTTGACTAGAGCTCAGTGGATGCTAACACTGATGCATTAATGTCACAAGTAGGCGAAGTAACCAGTATTACAGAAGCTGCCAGAGCTACTATTGTCAAGACTCTGTCAGCTTTACTATTACACATTTCAATTGTCAAAGCTATAACTCAACCAGGAAAGTTCATTGTGGGATACAACTTGCTGTACAAATCTTCATCTTCGGAACATATTTTGTAGCTCTAAGAGGATTTAAAAGCTTTTGCTAATTCCATAAAGAAATACCACCACAAAGATTCTTTGATTTTTTTTTAACAAGAGTGTAGTTTATTGCTATAGGTACTGCTTACTTACCAGAAGAGGCACTATCCAGTTCCGTCATGAAATGTTAATTATAGTTGACTGGGTGAAAAATTGACTCTTGGTTGAGGTTATAAAGTTTTCAGTGAATCTGATGCATGACAATAAAGTATTAAAGCCACCAAGATCTCTTATAAGAGCATCTTCCCTATTTAATTCCTATATTGTGTTTAGTTCTTGCCAAATTAGTTGATTGCCTCAAATTTGATACTGAAGTCAGTAAAGACTATACAAAGATTAGTCACAATATCAATTCAAATTTTTGTTTTTAATTGTTGTTTGAGACCTGTCTTGCTGCATAGTTCAGGTTGCCCTTGAACCATGTAGCCCACATTGGCCTTGAGAACTCACAGCAATCATCTTTCCTCAGCCTAAGAAATCTACCTTCTGATGTTAAGGAAGTTCATTAAGTCTCCAGTTTTACATTCATTTGATTCCACCAAAGTCAGTTTGTCAAATAATTATACTTATCAATATATGTACATCTCAGAAAGTTAAGTTGCTATCCCCTTTTACTCATCAACCCTCAAAAATTGAATATATATATATATATTCAATTATATAACATTTTATTTTTCCAGCCTGGAGTTCTGTAATACACTATACACTATGGAGAAGAGAGTGTGAGTCTCTTCTTCTGCAAAGCTTATAGTGTGACTAGCAACTTTATCAAGGACATTAACATCATGGTCAAGGATCACTCATCTCAGATTCTTTAAGTGGAGAGTTTGTTTGGTTATTTTCCCAGAGCAGTAATGCTTCCAAGAAGGAACTCCTACCAAGTTTATAAATCATCCCTTTGTTGTTGTTATAGGGCACCTAACAAAATGCTTATGCTCTGTGAGATAAATACCAATGAAAACCCAACTTTTAGATTATAAGATCCTTAGGAAAAAAAAAAAAGACTCCCTTAGGTTTCAAAATTTTCTACATCAACTAATGCTATATTCTTTTTCTAAGAAGCCTGAATTTTCCACTATAATTATGCCTCTGCAGGAGAAAATAAAGTCCATTTTGACTGCAAACAGTAACAAACAGAAGCTGTATTTTATTGGCCTGTATGGTCACGTGTTCCTTTCCCTTCACTCCCACCCTTCTGCACTCTGACCTGGGAATTCCTCTCTATCAGTTTCAATAGGGACATGATCCCTAAATATGCCAAGTAAGGCACATTGCTGCTTGCAGGCTATTTATCTGTGCCTGAGAATTGAAAATGGATTTCTTCTGGAGGTAAAAATAGTGCCCACCATTCAAAATAGTAGCAATGAATAAAAAATGTCACTAATTATTGTACATGTCATTAAATAAAACTAACTATCTTCACAAAAAGCATGATGAAGATGATTGCTTTACAGAAAAAAAGGAAGAGGAGGAATAGAAGGAAGGCTGATGCAATGTTAGTTGTAGGCTGAGCTCTTTTCTCAGTGCTTCACATTGGTTACTTCATCTCACGTTGGTTACTTTATTTAATCAGCACATCAACTTGATGATATAGCAACAAATAATATACCATTTTACAGACATGTGAGGAGCTGGTAAGGGCCAGAGTCAGTGTGTGGACCCAGAGGTCTCAACCAACTTGCAAGACCCCAAGAGAAACCCTGAATAGAGAGCAGCTAGCATTTGTGCATAATTACAAGACCAACACGATGCAAGTGACTGGCTCCTTTGAGCCCTCTGTTTCTGCCTCTGTGGAGTGACAGATTTAGACTAGTTGATTTCCAAAGTCTTCTAGAACACTAATACTCATAGCTGAGCAGTACCTGTCATTGTACTTCTTTTGCCCGAGAAAGAAGCAGGTGTCAAACCCTTCAAGCTTGCTGCAGTCTACTGTAGGAAATGAGCTAATTTCTATAGGAAAGGCTCAGAAAAATCTAGTTTCTTGGAATAAAATTAAAGTTGTGATTATATTTAATGGCCACATTTCAAACATCATTAAACAAGTCATGTAATTCCACGGGCCAAATAGAATCTGCTAAAACTTCTGTCATTAATAGTTTAATGATTGATTGATATCTGTGAAAGTGTCCCATTTTCTTCTTTGGTGGATTTCCTTGTTCACCTGTTGAAAAAGTACCATAATTCATACAGAATTCAGAAACAGCTGCGTTCTGAGAGTCACTGTAAAGCAGTTAATGAGCCGTCCTCCAAATAGGGCTTACTGTTCTCTTTCTCTAAGATGAATCCTAAGGCATACTTCGTTTTATTCCCATTTTTCAATGTTATACTTTGCAAAATTACCACCTTTGCTAATCTGTTACTCTTACCACCATCTGCCTCTTCCAACTGCCTCTACTCTGGAAGCAACAGGTGGAGAAGGATGTTTTGAATCTAGGAATGGAGAGAGTGGTGCAATGTGTGTGCTTCATAGATATTCACTGAATCAATTGAGGAAATAGTAGAAATAGGAGCTACATGTAAATGGTACCTCTGAAGAGTTAGAGAATATTTTTTTTTCAAAAGGAGACAACTCAGTGCCAATGTTTTTACTTGTAAATTTAACTGACAGATTTCACTAACCAAAACTGCAGAATCTGACTGCACAACGAAGATAGGAGTATTGATTGATCAGTTTGTTCTGAGAACAGATGTTAGGACTTTTTATGCTATACTAAAAACTCCAGTCAATATATGCTACAAGGCATATGATAAATATAGAGGTAGTTCTTTAGAGTATGTATAAAAACCAGTAATATTGACTATTTTGGTTAAAAATGCCCTGGTATTATTAATATTTATAGACATAATTTGACATTTTACTTATCATCTCTTTAGATATATGATTAATTTCTGTTAGAATCAAAGTTTTAGACTGGGTGGAATGTTTTTAAGCATTTAATACATTTCTTAAATTGAAAATTTATTAGAGGGCAGGTAGCATGATTTTAGGTATCAATGTGAATGAGCCTGAATAAAAGTGGTTTGGTTTTCGTTGGTGATCTGGAGGATCGCTCTCAGGGCCTCTTCTGTGATGTGCAAATAGTATACCAAAGAGCTCCCTTGCAGCCCAAGGAAAAAATTTTTAAATAAACTCAATATGCATAAATTCTACCTCTTGCATCTTGTAAACTAAATGCAATATTCTAAAAGGTCAACATAGGCCAAAAGAAGTCTAATCAATTTCTTATAAAGTAGCTTACCAAAGCATCCAGCTCAACATCGGGTTACTGAGGTCTCTATGAACCGATAATGACACTTACGACAAAATAAGACATTTCAACCATTCCTTTAGTTTATACCAAATCACTGAACTCTGGAATAAAATAATTCCATCCAGTAGGAATATAACATTTGCTTTTGCATACAGTTTTCCTTCTTACCATAGATAAAATAATGTCAATTTTCAGTTTTTATTTAAATATTTAAAACTCTGGACTTGTCTGTGCACCTATGACATACCCACAAAGATTTGTTTTGTGTGTGATTATACTTGCATTGTTTGGGAACACAATAAATTCATGAAAGATGATGTAGTTTATCAGTTTTTAAATAGACACTCAATGTTTTTCATTGTTTAAATTGGGGGATTTTATAATGCAAATCTTAAAAAATTTAATCTTCAGTGCCTTATTATTGTAGTTATAGAAAAATCTTTATTTAAAGATCCCTAATTGATTCTATAAGTCAGTTAAAGCTTCAACATTTAGTTTGTATCCTGTTCATATTTCTAGTAAAAATATGTCATTGAATATGTACAATATATTAGCGTTCAAACTTACTACTTGTACTATCTTTCAATAGCACATATAATGTCTTAGGACGATTTTTGTCTTCTGCATGGAGATTTACTTATTTCATATTCATTCATGGTACTCTCACATCTATTTGAAAAATGAATTGTTGCTCTTTTTCTTTCTTCTTCATTAATCATGTAGGTCCTCAAGGTCTTAAAGGTGATCGGGGAGCCGCTGGCTTTCCTGGGAGTAGAGGCTTACCAGGATCACCCGGAAATATGGGCAGGCCAGGTATTATAATTCTATGTATTTTCTTGTAGAATATGAAAATAAAATCTATATTATACATAGTTGTTTTTAAATTCTTCTATAACAAAATATTTCATCATAATCTGAATAGTAGTACTTATGACCAGTTTATTTTGTTGCCTAAAATGTTTTAAGCCTGATTTCTCTTCACCTGAAGAAAGCTTTCGTGTCCCAAAGGACAATAGTTTAAAAACGCATACAGAGTTTATAGATTTAAGACAATTATAAGTCATCAAGAAGGAAACAAAGCTTTATAAGTAGGGAGAGTGACAGGTTGGAGGGAGGATAAGAGATTAGGAATAAAAGAGAAATCAAAGTATACCATGTGCAAGTACAAATTCCCTATGATGACCATGATGATCATGCCTATATAAAATGTACCAATAAACAATTTAAAGAAACAAAAGTGACAAAACAAAATTATATTTATATTAGAAAAAATGAATTGAAGGGAATGACAAAGGAAAATAAGCAGAGTTCACGCCATTAAGCTTTCTGTAAAACCCTGTTAAATTAGTATGGCAAAGCACAGAAAACCCTAAAATTCTATTTTCTACAAAATAAACTCTCCAGAAGTTTTTACAGTGCTTCAAAATTGACATTTTTCAGTACTTCAATATTTACATCCATAATGGTAGATTATAACAATAGCCCAAGTTTGGATTATGTACTTTACACAGGAGTTTAGGAGAAAGTAGGCTCATGTTTTTCTAATCTCATAGTAAATTATTACCAAGAAAAAAAGATTTGTTTCAATAGATTTTATTTTAAGTGAATTTTATTTTTATAGAAAAATTGCACAGGCTATATAGAACTTCTACATACCACTCCTCCATATATAGTTTCTTCTACTGTTTAACATCTTGCACATAGTATGGCACATGTGTAGCAATTAATAAACTAATACTAATACATTATTATTAATGAAAGTCTATAGTTTTCATTAGGGGTCATTTTACCATTGTGCACTGGCTGGGTTTATAATGTCATGTATCCCTCATTACAGTGTTATACAGAATAGCTTCACTGTCCTATAACTTGCCCATATTCCACCTATTTTTACTACTTCCCTGCAAACTTCTGAGAACTATTGATCTTTTTGCTAGTTCCATAGCTTTGCCTTTTTCTGAATGCCATAGTTGTAATTACAGTGTGATCTTCTCATACAAAGTTATTTTCCTTAGCAATAAATATGTAATGTTTCTATATTTTATGGTCTGTTTATTTCTCTTTATTATTCAATGATATTCTTTTTTATGACTTGAACGCAATCTGTTTGGCTATTTACCTACTGAAGAACATCTTGGCTGCTTCCATATTTTGGAAATTATTCATAGAGTTTACCAAAGAGAGTTATTGCTAGATCACATGGTAAACATAGGTTTAGCTTTGTAAGAAAGTGCTGCACTGTCTTCCAAAGTGAAAACTGTTTTGTATTCCTACCAGCCACGAATGAGGATTCCTGTTGCTCCACATGCTCACTGGCATTTGATGTTATCAGTGATTTGGAGTTTAGCAATTCTAATAAATGTGTTGGGGTATCACTGAATCAGTGTATATGAACTGTGTCTATGCCAATTAGGTTGGAGAAAAATCAGCTAGCCTCAAGTAAGCAACCTGTAATTAGTCTCCACGAGAGACTTGATTACCTGAAATGAGTGCTGTATTTATGTACCAACCACCGCTAAGCCATCTAGCCTTAATCAGGTCCTTTTGGCAATATGGAAAGAAGTGATTGTTGTTTAATTTGCTTGAAATTATTCATATCACTCGAGGATTGCTGAATTTCCTTTAGGGCAATTTGAGTTCAATAGACAAATATACTTAAAACCTTAAATTTGACACAATAGCAAAGCTACTTACCAATTGCTAGATAATTTAACATGATTCTGTGAAGAAAGGATAAAATTTTCTTTGTACTCTAAGTTTAAAGTAAAAAACATGGTATATTAGTCTATGATCTGCAAAATAATAGTTATTTAGCATATCTGGCAAATCCTGAACCTTTGTATTTTCCTAATTGCATTGTGCTATAAAATGAGATTAAATCATAAGTGAGTTAACACTCTACTTTTCTACTTTCAGAAGTCTAAGAGATTGCTGTAGAGCTAGACTTCCAAGAATCACTTGTGGTCTCTCTCAAATAGTTAAACTAAGCTGAGCATTTTGTCATGTTCTCAAAACATCAGTTGCAATTTGTTTTAACTTTCCTTTTCTACATACATTTTTAAATTTCTTAGACTTTTATTAATGAATAATTTGAAAATTTATTACTGTACTTCATAAAAAGACACCACTTGAAAAATAAGCAACATGGTGGAGACCTTGTGGTACTTAATGATTTTTGACAATGTAATGTAATAGCACCTAAATTAATAGTAATGATGCCTAAAATAATGAACACCTAAAAATAGTGCTTAATTTAGTACCTGAAGCAACACCTAATATAGTACCTAAAATTACAATTAAAATTTAATGTGTGTTTAATGATATAAAATATAATCATATCATGAAAAATAATTTGAAAATTATAAATCCTCATTGTAATACTCTGATGAGTAGTTGGCATATTATCAAATCTTCAAAGTAAAATTTCAATTGGGAACACTTTTTACTTCTTAAAATATTTATTTGTTTATTTTTTGTATTTTAGGGAAGGGTCTACAGGGTGTTCAGGGTCTCACTACTAGATCAGACTCGTAGTGATCCACCTGTTTACAGCCTCCCAAGAGCTGGGATTATAGGTGCGTGCCACCATGCCCAGTCTCAATTGCTATCTCAGCATTCCCTGGGGACAGGGCTGGCATGGCAGGCCCAGGGATTAAACCCCTGGCCCCTGTGCCTGCTTGCAGGTGCTTTAATCTGCTGAGCTATTTGGCCAGCCCTTGTTTGTTTGTTTGTTTGTTTGTTTGGCACAGGATCTTGCCATGTAGCTCAGATTCATAGTCATCCTCCTGTCTCAGCCTTCTCAGCTCCAGGATTACAGGCATTCACCACTACTGGTTTCAGGGCTGACACGGCAGCCTGGGGATCAGGGACTGTTAGGGATTGTGGTACCAGGGATTGATTCCAAGGTCCTTGTCTTGCCAAGCAGGCCCTTAGACCACCAATCTGTCTCTGAGGCCCCAATTTGTACTTTTTAATCTTCAAGTCTAATGTACTTTCTACTCTTGTATTATATTTTCTAAACATAATAAATCAGGTCAGAAATCTTCTATACATAAGAACAAACATTCGGGGCTGGTAAGATGGCTCAGTGGTCTAGGGCACCTACTTAGAACAAGCTTAGCAAAGCACAGGGACCGCGGTTCAATCCCCCAGCACCACATGCCAGCCCGCCCCGCCCCTGGTGGGCTGAGCTGGCCACACGCGCACACACACACACACACACACACACACACACACACACATAAATAAATAAAATTTTTAAAAAAGAACAAACATTCAACAAAAGATCAGAGGAAGCTATTAAACTTTTTAGAACAAAAAACTAATTAGTATTGAAACTTTAAGATAAAATTAAAAGTAACATGAAACAAAATATTATCTGTAAAAATTTTTTTAAAAATATGATCCTTGTTGAAAAAGTCCTGTTTTCATTCAATCAGAGTAAAAATCACAGACATCATATTTTAGTTAAACAAAAGTGTGAAAAAGTAGAAATACTAAGAGGGTCACCATCATTTATGAGCTTGTGCTCTGTGAATACAAGTGCTAATTTTCAAGGCCATTCTGCAATGGGAAGAATTTTATTTTGATTTTGTAGTGAAATAAACTTCATTTTGACCAGGGTCAATGACAATCTTTAACTGCATACCTAGAGCAAAATAGTACAGGAAAATCAAGACAAATTTTTTAAATCACAAGAGTTATTCCAAAGTCTGTGGTTTTCAAGCAATAAAGAAAGGATAAAAATTCTTGACTTTGTGTGCAGTGGATAAAAAGTATTAACTGATGTTTTGACTTCTATAGCAACAGCACTAGAATCAGTTCTACATTTACGCTAAGAAAGCATTTGTTTGCACCTTTTTATTGAAGGGAGGTGGGAAGTTTGCTAGGGAATGAAGCACGGCCCTTTATGTAAGAGGCGAGCATCCTAACACTGAGCTATAGCCCTACAAGCCCTGGATATGCCCTTTAAAAAATGAAACTGGAAGAAGTGGCAAACCATTAGTGACGACCGAGGTCTCCTATTCTGACTGCCGTACAACATGGCAATAATTATACCCCATCCTCCACGGAAATGGTGGAGATTCATAAGGCAAAACCGGCCAGCTCAGAGGTTTGGATGCCCATGAACTTTTATATTTCCCACTCAAATTCAGGTGGTTAGAAACTCAGAACTCCTAGAAATTCATTCACACCTCAGTCTTTGGGGTGTTCTGCCATGAAGGGATGGAAAGTAATACAGATACATTATAATGAAAAAAAGAACAAAGCTTAGGATGAAATGGGGGTTTCTGGATTTTCTGGGGAGAGGGGTGGAAGGAAGGCAGCCAAAGAGAAGAAAATGAAGTTAAATGAACTAAAAGCAAACTTATACTTCAGCTTTGTGTAATTTCCTGCTTTATGAAAATGGAACAATTTAATACCTTTATAAGTAAGTTGAGATAGTATATCAAGTTCATAATAGGCTTTTTAAAGTGATATTATTAGGGGGCCTGGCCCTAGCTCAGTCCTTTAAGTGGCTGCTTCCACAAAGCTGTCAGCCTCAGGTTGCTGGAGTTCGAACCTCACAACTCTCCCGC